ATATATATATATATATAAACGCACCTGTTTACGACATCGTGAAGATACGCGCTTGTTGCATTACAAAATCGTATATAATTGAATGTTATATAATGTCAGACATAATAAATTTAACGATTTTTAGCTGCGCGTGTGCGTGTGTTTTTAATATCGTATATCACGCCTTTTTAAAATAGCGCTCACGCATGATCCAATATTTATACAGCTTTTAACACATATAGAAACGATATATGATATCATAAAAAGTTAAAAATGTAGATAAAATATTAAATATCAAACGTAACTAAAATTTCATTCCATAGAGATACATCCCCATTTAATTAATTGCGGATTGATATTTATACGTTCTAGTTTTCAAAACTTTTATCAGATACAAGATACATAATTAAATACATATATAATATAGATACAACATTGGATATATGCAAGATATAATTAAAATTTCAATGATTTTATAGAGATTCATACAAAGTAGATTCTTTATAAATATAACAACGTGCATAAACTAGATATACGCTATATATATCGAGCAAATTGTGATCACTTGACTCCAACGCGAAAAGACATCGTTTTGTACTTATATATATCTCGCAAAAAGAGGCATTCAGATATGTAACTTATCGACTTAGTCAGCGATCGTTAATATAATACATAGCTTTCTTACATATTTCACGATTTTAACGGACTTTGAACGAGTTTTTTCTTTATTCCATTTCATTTCATGTTTTTTCAACCCATTTCCGATACTCTTAAGTAATAAATTAAAATGACAAACGTGAGAAAAAAATTGCGAAAAATGTGTCTATTAAAAAAAAAAATTAACATCTTTTGCGTCGCATATTATGATAACTTCTTTATTTATTCAATTTAATGAGACACTACTCGTATTCCATAATGATAACATTATTAAGAATAGACATATATTATTATATAGATATCCAATTCTGAGAATTCATGAATGTTCTGGAAATGAAATTTTTATAAATGAAATGCGAGATAATTCTACTAATATTCATTCAAACGATAAAATAGATAACGATAATAATTTCTTCAATATTTTTTTTCCGATAATGGCATTTCTCGTGTGTGTATTGTAAATTACATTGTCGATGTCCATTGATCTTCAGCTGTCCCCCACATAAGATACAACGAATAATAAAGTCGCTATTGCTCCTACCTTGGTGATATGCAAGAGTATGTAAATCGATCGCGAATATTTGTACGCGATGTGAATAATGGCTCATTGTTACCTAAGAAAATCCCTTACACTTAGTATCAACTATATCGATCGATGTCGATAGCGCGCAATAAGCATGTCTTTGATTTCTTCATATTCTTCTGAGAAATTCGATAAAAGTTTCCGTAATTTTTTCCCTCGAATATGCACGTGAATCTGATAAATAGAAACAACAGTGTTTTGTGCTGCCGTATATTCTTCATTTCTGTTATATATGTATACATAATTTCACCTTCACTTTTCTTATCTTTTTTTTTACAATATCTCTCAAAGTAGTTCTCATCTCATAAAAATATTTATTTCAGTTTTAGGCTGCTTTTTTGCGTAGAAATTTGTTTAACAATCCAATAATCTTACGGTAAAATCTATGTTGGACCACTGTCAATTCTTGTCTCGGTCGACGATCTTTACGAATATATGATGCTGCTCTATTCTTAACCCATAAGCGTCATAATGAAAGTGGATCATGGTAGTACACGGTACAAATTAACGAGACGTTCCCTTCGTTTATTTGTGGAGCAGGTTATCTCGAGTAGAAGCGACGGGTAATGACGGGAACAAGCTATGCACATAAATGGATCTTGATAGTGTATATATAATGTATATACATCCTATTAACTACGCTCTTTTCAACAACGCTTTCTACATTTTCATACAGTGAATCGCCTGCAAATGTGCATGAATAAAAATTTAATTTTTGTTTTAGTATTATATTTATTCTTTACTTTTTCAGTACATTATATTTATTATATTTATTGTTAATATATTTTTATATTTACATATTTTCATTTTTATTTGTTAATTTTTTAAATTTATTTTTTAGTATATCTTTTTTTTTATACTCTTTCTTTTTTTAAAGGCTCTTTATCGGGTAACCAGAATGTTTTTAACGTTCAATCGGCGTAAAAGGTTTACGATTTATATCACCGTAATTGTGTTGGGTGGACCGGTTAAGCGTTAGAGAGTAGGAAACACGCCGCCAGCGAAGGTCGCTTGCGAAAACGAAGGTTAAGACTTTTACTTTATGGCCTAACCATCGTTTATCTTTGAAATGTTTGAGATCTCACACTTCCGATCACCCGTAACAACGTGACACGCGATCGATACGTTCGAGATAATTCATAAATTCTTCATTATAACGTAACAAATTTTCATATTAATTGCAACGGGGATATTTCTGATCATCATTTATTACGATGATACATTTATAAACCGCAGCGTCATTAAAAAAAAAAAAGTGTCTCGAATTATCTTATTTACACGACTTTTTTACACGCAGTACAATAGATTATTACGCAACAAAAGATTGATTCGATAATCAAATCTGTTCTCAATTACTAACATATGAGTTATGTTGCATATATTTTCAATTATGTGTTAGTAATTAAAAAAGAGATAAACAAACTATGAATGTTGTGAGATATATTGCGCAATAATCTATTGTATTACGTGCAAAAAAGTCGATAAGATAACTCGAGACACTTTTTTTTAATGACATTGCGGTTTATAAATATATCGTCGTAATAAATGATCGATTCATGGATTCATGACTTATTACTTTGAAAGGATTACTGCAAATATTTTTTTTTATATTGCATTGCATACTTTATTTGTAATGCTTATTGTTTTATTATTAACTTATTGCAACAAGAGAGTCATTATAGAAATATCACATGCTTCTTTTTACTACTCCATTATATATTTATGCGAAATTATACGAGATTATCTGCGAGATTATGTGCGAGAAAAATAATTGACGCCGCATAACGATAAGCGTCTCTTGCTAGTTACAAGAATGATAAATGTTGAAATTTCTGTCGCAATTATAAATTAGTTGCGGTGTCAAGGAAAATGCTACACTCGACTATCTTATTACTTTGCAATTTTGTGCTAACGTACTATTAAAATGTCATACACGTGATATTATGTAATCGTGTTTGTAACAAAATAATTATCGTTCTGTAACTCTCTTTGCAGCACTCGAATAGACCGACGAGTGTGAATCGCTGTGAATCTGTTCGAATCGGAGACGCAAGAAAGAAGAAAAATGCAGAACGGATTTAAGATTGACGATGATATCATTTATAAAGATGTTGTAATCATAGGTAAATATATGAGATATTTTAGAATCTTGTTTTTTTTGTGACACGATGATTTAATAGCTTGATTAATAAAAGGGATACAAAAATAGCAATGGAATAAGAAATATATTCTTCAGAATATCACATTTTATATCTTAATTTATTGTAGATTGAGTGAAAAAACACAAAAATGCCTTTAATTTTTCAATATTTTGACAATTTCTTTATATGTATATTTTTATATAATTTGATGCTAAATCGATGAATTTTTTGTCTCTATCGCCGATGTTTGAAATTAATATTCACTGTGAAACTAGAATTCTTTATTATAAGATTGATAGCGTGTAAACTCATGAATTCGCTGGACAAATAAATAAAAAAGATATTTCTGAAATCGATCAAAACAAAATTTGCTAGGCTTTTTGGAAAGATCATACGATTTTACACGATCTTTTCCGATCCTTAGGAAATGGACCCAGTGGAATATGCCTATCGTACATGCTCGCGGGCAATTGGCCTTACTATACCGGCGAACCTCATCCTGGTGACGATATGCTGACGGCGCGACTGCGGTTCTGTATGACAAATACCGGCAGCGAGGACCGCGGCAATACGTATTCGGATGATGCGGTTGCCAACAATCGGCATCAATGCGGCAAGTCTGGCGGCGGCAGAATACACGGAGGCAGTCTGGCGCGCAGCACACGTTGCAAACTCGAATGCCTGTCATCTGGCATCGAGGGCAGGGGCGGTGGTCGACCGTTGGCCCTTCTCATGGACCATCTGCAGCACCCGTGCGTCGATACCGGCCTCGATGTGGCCTCGCTCCTCGATTGGCGGTCCGCCGACGAGTATCCCGAACACAAAATCGTGGACCACGTTGTCCTTGGCAAGGGCCAACCCGGCGGCTCCTGGCAGGTATGTGCTATCAAATATGACATTTCTTTCTGTAAATATTTCATACTTAATTCTGCATATAAGAAGACAAAGATTTTTTTCTGCGTGAAGTAAAACAAATAAATCTTGATAGATAAGAAAAATGGTAAAACTAAAAATATAATTAAATTCAAGCAATATCTTTAGCTTTATTCTTAGCAAATTAACTTATTAAGTTTCTTTAACATGATTATCTCTAGTTTATGGACCCTAATGTGCTGACTCTCAGTCTGAGTCGATGGATGTCTCTCCCCGACCTGGATCTGAGGCACTGGGAGAAACTTGTCGAGGCCGAACAGTTACAAGAGTCGGTTTTAATCGCGGCAAGCGATGTATATACGCGACCAGAAAAATTAAGCGCTTGCAAGGCGTCCAGCCGGATTTCCGTAGGCACCGTAGCTGCTTATTACAAGGACTACGTGCGCAGAAAAGGCTTGAAACAATATTTTCGATGGTGCGTGTTTAAAATATTTGTAAGACGAATTCGTTATTATGTAACATTATGACGCGAAATTTCACGAAAGCGATCCGCGTTGTAGCGGGACTACAGTTACTTCAGTAAGATCGGATTCGGACTCGCCCGAGAGTGAGGGAGGATACAATTGGATTGTGGACGGATACGAGAACAAAAGTGGAAAGCGATTTCGGTATCGGTGTAGAAGAG